CCTGAGAGTCACTGTGGTGCTCTGCATATCTCTTGCCCACCTCTTCCCATAGCCACAGCAGGGTGACCAGTGGAGGAAGACCACATCCAGAGAGGGAGACGATTGGCCAGCCCACCTAACCTCACCCAGGACGAGGCCATGACAAGGGCTCATTTCCTCACGTGGCCATGAAAACATAAAGAACTATGAGGGAAATTGCTCCAAAACAAACATGTCCCTCTTCTCTCTGGAAAGAAACAGGCTTCCAGGAGAACAGAGCAGGTCCTGTGCCACTTCGCAGGACCACAGAGAGGAGGGGAAGGAGAGCAGGGGAGGGAGCAGGCAGAGTACATTTTTTTTAAGTTTGTATACTTCTATGCTGCTATCAAATTTTCAGTGTGCATGTACTATTTCTGTAATTGTATGAAAATAAGCACAATTTATTCACCTACTATCTTGTGTGTGCGTGTGCATGAGTGTGTGTGTGTGCGTGCACGTGTGTGTGTGTGTGTGTGTGTGTGGTACTGGGGTTTGAATTCAGGGCCTACACCTTAAGCCATTCCACCAGCCCTTTTTTTTTTTGGTGATGGCTTTTTTCAAGATAGGGTCTCGTGAACTATCTGCCTGGGTAACAGGATTGAACCGTGATCCTCTTGATCTCTGCCTCCTGAGTAGCTAGGATTTCAGGCATGAGCCATTGGCACCTGGCTATTCACCCACTTTCTATGGCTCCTTTCCTGGTGGTGTTATCAAGACCCTTATACCCTTTCTCAAGAAGGACTCCTTCTAGGAATGGTGAAGAAATGAACACTCAAGTAAAAACTAAACTAATACTAGAGGTAGGGTAACTATTAATTGAGTATTTACACACTCCACATGGTCCCAGTGCTGCTCTGAGTTCATTCATTCCATCCCCATGCCCAGCCAAGGGCCAGGGGTAGGACACTTCAACTCCATTTACAGATGTGAAGCCATGCCACATAGAGGAAGGGGAGAGAACAGAGCAAAGGTCCAACACCAAGTCCTGCTCCTGCCCAGGTTAACACAGACTCTGCTCCACAGGTTCCATTCCATCGGACACATGGTATCCACTCGGTAAGAAGAGCTTTGCACACTTGTAACAACACGCAGGGGAGCAGAATAAATGCAGCATAGTCTAAATTGTGGGGGAAATTAATGAAGACAAAACAAAGACTCCAAACCACACCGCTCCGTACCCACACTGCAAAGCGGGCCAGTCCAAGGGCCAGTCCCCAGAAGTTCCTAGTTCAAGAGACTGTTATATACACTTTAAAATGCTCCTCTGTTCTCCATGTTTTCTACAACCAATGTGCTGACTTCCTAGCAATAGTAAAATCTATGTTTGAGGCAGAACGGTCAGGCTGTAGCCAGCAGTGTAGGCTCACCAGGAGCTGTGAGCCTTTGCGGCATGTCTGTCCACACCTAGGGAATCTGACCCTCACAGCCATAAAATGATCAAACCAAGGAACTTGACAAGGATGGTAAATCACAGTGCAACTCTTGACTAAAGCTCATTTTGTGAAAGAATTAGACCTTTTCAAAAAGCTTATATACCTGTATGTTGGGTTTTTTTGTTCTTGTGGTGAATGATGCATAAAATTTACTATCTTAACTCTGAGTACATAGGTCATACAAGGAGCCCCAACTGAAAGTCCTCCACTTTATACACTGGCTCCCCACCTCCCTCCCCAGCCCCTGGCATCCAGCCATTCTACTGTCTATGGACATGACTCGAGGGACCTCACCTAGGTGCAATCATACAGTATTTGTCCTTCCATGTCTTCGCTGAGCTTAAGTCCTCAAGGTTAAACCATGGTGTAGTATGCATCCAAATTTCCTTCCTTTTCAAGGCAGAATAATATTCCACTGTCCATATATGCCATGATTTATTTAGGCACACATCCACCTTGAATTACGTGTATCCTTTAGCTATGGTGAATAGTGCTATTTAGAACATGGATATGTGAATAATATATGATTCCTAGCTTTTGATTGTAAATATATTTTTGTAATTATATAAAGGAATACAATTTTATTAGCCACTTTTTTTGTTGTTGTTGGTAGCAGGGATTGAACTCAGGGCCTTGCACTAATAGGCACTCTTACCACTTGATCCACATTCTCAGACCTTTCTGCTTTAGTTGTTTTTGAGATAGAGTCTCATGTTTTGCCCCAGGCTAGCCGGGGACTTCGATCCTCTTGCCTATGCTTCCCTAGTAGCTGGGATGACAGGCTCTTGCCACCACACCCAGCTTTATTGGTTGAGATAGGGTCTCACTGACTTTTCTTGACTGGATGAACTTGAACCTGTGCACAGCTGGGATAACAACCATGTGCCACTGCCCCATCAGCTACTTCCTAAGGCTGCTTTCTCTGGCAATGTGAAGACTTTCAAAACAGGCTTACTGCTGTGTCCTCACCTCTCTCCCTTCTCTGTCATTAAGTCACCTGTACACCCTGCTTCTCTCCTAGAAAAGTATCAGAGAACACCAAAAGGAGAATGCACAGGCACCGAGAGAGTCGGTCCCTATCTGCCACTAATAGAGACGGCGTTCACCATCCTGGGAGGCACTTCCCAAGCATGGCCCCTGGAAGGTCAAGCCCTTGGATCTCTATGCCTCAGTTTCCAGCCTGTGAGACAGACACCAGCCCACCTGCCTCCAGGCACCTGCCAGCTCCACAGGCTGCACCAGTCTCAATGTTCCTGACTGCTGCCAAGGCTTCCTTTTGTAACTCCAGTGTTCTCCAGCAACTTCCCTGTGCTCATTAAGGGGGTTTACAGGGGAGTGGTTTACAAGGGTCTAGGGGAACAAGAACTCCCCTATGCTGTCAGGGCAGAGGAACTGGCCACCCATTCGGGAATATGAAGTCAAGCTGAGTCACACACACCTCTGACCTAGCAAGTGCATGCCTACCAGGGACGCCCTTGAGCTCATACCAGGAGAGTAAACACCGGATCCCTGCAGCAGCCGTCATTTATACAGAGACAAAAGGAGAAAACAAAGCCAGGTGCTGTTGGCTCATGCCTGTAATCCTAGCTATTTGGGAAACGGAGACTGAGAGGATTTCAGCTGGAGGTCAGCCTGGACAAATAGTTTTCAAGACTCCCAACTCCAGAGCAAAATGGACTGGAGGCATGACTCAAATGGTAGAGCATCTGCTTTGCAAGTACGAAGCCCTGACCTCAAACCCCAGCCCCACCAAAAAGAGAGAAAATAAGTGAATTATCCAGCAACGGAAGACAGATGAACAGGCGCATTCATCCAGATCCTGGCCTGTAGCTGAGGAACTAGAGCTGCATACACCAGCCTGGAGGAGTTTCAAAATCCTATAATCGGAAAGCTTGGTGTGAAACTGCACATGCAAGATAACCAAAGTTTTACATGTGCAATCCTCTCTTGCTGTGCCGGTCACACATACACACACCAGGGCTGGCAGCACCGGGGTTTGTTTCCCACTGTCTGCGCAATGGCTTCACACATTTCACTTGAAAATGAAATACTGATATCCATAATTGCATCTTTAACACACACACACAAAGGTGAAGCAGAAACAAGGCTGGGAAGGAAGAAAGTACAGCCCGACTTCAGAAGGATGGTCACTTCTGCGGAGGGAAAGAGGAGGACAGAGAGGACAGGACTTTGCGGAAGGTGAGAGTTTAAAAATACATTCTCACTGGGCATGGTGGTGCTTGCCTGTAATCTCAGCACTTGGGAGGCTGAGGCAGGAGGATTGTGAGTTTAAGGCCAGCTGAGCTACATAGTGAGAACCTGTCTCAAAAAAAACAAAACAGAAAAACAACCAAAGTAGGGAAAGCCCTTCTCTGGGCTGGCAGAGTGGCTCAAGTGATAAGAGTGTCTGCCTAGCAAGCATGAGGCCCTCAGTTCAAACTCTGACACCACTAAAAAACACAACAAAGCAAAAACAACCCTGTCTACACACTTGGGGAAAACACACATGTGAGAGTTGGGATGGAAAGGGCATTGATTGACTCCTTTTTCCTCCTGAAATGAGACCACACCCTCATGTCTACTTGCAATGCAAACCAGAGGATGGGGGCACTGAGTAGCAATGAGGATATTTATTCTTCATCTCTGTCTGAAGCAGGGTTTGTTAGAGATGCTGAATACCTGACAAGCCATTTTTAAATAGTGGGAAAAAATTTAGAGTCCAGGGGTAATAAATGCATGTAATATTAACAATAATAGCAACCGTTGTACAAGAAATACAATATAGTCACAATAATGTGATAGACACAGGGTAAGTCTTGTATTTAAGAAAATGTTTCTTAGGGCTTGTTACAGAAGCTTTCTCAGGATTTGTGATATCTATCTGATCAGCCTATGAGCTGTGAGCAACAGGAAGATCAATTCTATGTAATACCTTGATGGTTCAAATGTGTATATCACATTGCAGATTTTACATACATACATAAACATACCTTTATATACACATATGTATATATACACACACATATATTTATTGAGACTCAATATAATTTACCCATGTAAACTCTATAATTCAGTGCCTTTTGATATATACTCACGGCCATACAACCATCTCCCCCATCACTTCTATAACACTTTTGTCACCCCAACAAGAAATCCTGTGCCTGTTAGCAGTCACTCTCCACACCCCGCCTACCAAGGATCCCTCCACCCAGCCTGACAGCTCTAATCTACTTTCTGTCTCTATTGATTTATCTCTTCTGGCCATTTCATATAAATGGAATCATACACTATATGGTTTGTTGTGTGTGATTTCTTTACTCAGATGACTTCCAGGTTCATCCATGGTGTGGCATGTGTCAATATTCACTCCCTTTTAGGCTGAGCAATATTTCCTTACATAGCCAGACCAGATTCATCCACTGATAAGCCAGAACTTTTTCTTTTCCCCTGACAAAGTAGTTCTGATTTTTCAGTAATTCCTTTAAAAATGCAGCCCAGCTTGAAATTCACTTCCTCCTGCAATTATGCCCCCACCCCACCCCAGTTTACCTTCTCCTGGGCCGACCTGGCCACACTGGAGACTTCCCAAACTGCCAGCTCCAGGGGCTGCAGCTGCAGGTCCTGCTGGAAGGACAAGTGCAGTGGGCCCTGGAAGAAAGAAGCAGTGTAAGGAAGGGCACACATGGGGTGGGGGGCACTGCTTTTTTTTTTTTTTTTTCAGTGCTGGGGCTTGAACTCAGGGCTTACACCTTGAGCCACTATATCAGCCCTTTTTGTGTTTTTTCAAGATAGGTTCTCTCAAACTATTTGCCTGGGCTGGCTTCAAACCACGACCCCCCTGATCTCTGCCTCCTGAGTAGCTAGGAGTACAGGTGTGAGCCGCCAGCACCTGGCTTGCTTTTTTTTTTTTTTTTTTAAATTATGCACTTTCTATAAAACTCTGTGCAAATGTAAGAAAACATTAACATGACATCACCACAATAGTTAAACACCAGTAGGCCCCCAAACCAGAGAACCAGCACTCGGCAGGCAGGATCTAGTTAGGGGAGAAGGATGAGGAAAGAAAGGATGCTACAGAAAACAGTTAGGGACATGTGAAACCCTGAGGCATACAGGGGAAGCCTGCAGCAGGGCTCCACACATACCTCTGTTGCTCTGGCAGAGAAGCTTGCCCAGCAGGGCTGCACTCTCCCTCTCTACTGAGAGTCCTCTCCTCTGGCTCCAGGAGAGGACCCCTCCCTGCTCTGCGAGGTTGCTGTGTCACTGTTACTTAAGGTGCTACCTATTCTCCTCTCCCACTACCTGAGTGATGGGTGGGCAGGAACCCTGGGCCTGGCCTCTCCCTGGGATCTGAGAGGACACACAAGCCTGGTGGCTGTGTCCTCAGCCCCTACTTCACAGCTCTCCAGAGCTGCTGGGCTCCTGCCCCCTGGCCTTATGGGTCAAGTCCACCTTCAGCCTCATGAATTCTCCAGCATCCTTCCAAGTAAGCACCTCCTTACTTAAGTCAGCTCATGTCCATTTTGGTTCTTGCAATTTAATCTCCAAAAGAGAGATGAGCAATTAAATTAATGTGACCACAAGGCAACAAAACCAATGCTTTATAGAAGAGCAAATACGGGCTTGGGTAAGCCAACCAAGTCTTGATCTTCTAAAATGAACTCTTACTCTTTTCCTGATTTGCTGTGGAAAACACTGCATATTTAAATAAGGTCTGACTGGTGGTTCAGAAATGCAGCCTACACCTTCCCCTGAGTCTTCTCCATTTCAGAGCTTCCATGGTGGTGAGCTACTTCCAACACTGAGGAAGTAGACGGCCAAGGGTGGGAGTCGGAAATGGAGCCAAAGCTGTTTTGGCAAGCACAGTGCAAAGGACCCATGAGGCGAGCTTCTCACCATTTCTTTGGAATTCCTGCTGATCAGGGGTGAACCATTTTTATTTACATGCTTCTAACCTCACCCTGCGCTAGCAACAGCTACCTCACCCTCAAACATCATAAGGGAAGGATGAAATCTAGTCTCACGGGGAATGAAATCATGGTTTCCAGCTGCTCTGCAGCAATTGTCCCTGGCTGGAACTTGCTTTGGCGAGGGCTGCTGACTAGGGGCATCTTGTGCTTGCTGATGACACTGTCCTATGAACTAGCTACCCATCTGAGAGGATGGCACCTGGCACAGAGGCCAGCGCCAGGCAGCAACAGCTGGCTGCTGGGGCAAGTGAGTGGTTCACATCGTGAACAGCCTAAAGTTGCCATGCTGCCTTCAGCTGGGATGCAGAGGCAGGTGCTGGGACACCGACATAGGCAGGGTGAGCTCCCCTACCCGGGGTGCCTTCCAGTAAAAACTTTGGAAAGATTTTGCTGGGAAACTCAATGGCAAGGGGCAGTCTTGCAAAGGAAATAAATCATGACATTAAAACATAGACAGAGAGATGGCCTTTCCCTTTCTGATCTGCCTGACCCTGGCAGATTGGGAGCAGAGCAAGCCTGTACCATGCAACCCACTCAGCTCTGCCAGTGCCACTCGCAGCAGACTCAGCCTAAAGGAGGACTTTGGTCCATGCAGAGAAAAGCCATGTGCAGAAACTGCCAGGAGAACACTGCAGGGGGACTCTGAGGGTGACCAGCTCCTCGGACATTAGAACCTGCCACAGAACCTGCGTAACTAAAACTGGGTGGTTTTGGGCAGCAAGCAAACACATCAGTGGCCCTAGCACATCCAGAACAGATCCAAATGCTTGCAGAAACTTAGCAAAGGGTGAGCACTCCGAATCCAAAAATGTGAAGTTCCCCAAAACCTGAAACTTTTTGACCCCTGACATGACACCACATGTGGAAAATTCCACACTATAAAACTTTGCTTCATGCACAAAATTCTTTAAAATATTGTATGAAATAACCTTCAGTCTCTGTATATAAGGTGTATATAAAACACAAGTGAATTTCATGTTTTGACCTGGGTCCTATTCTCATGCTATCCCATTATACATATGCAAATATTTAAAAATCTGAAATCCAAAATACTTCTGCTCCCACCCACTTCAGATATGGAATAGTCAACAAAATAAATAGCAACTATAGTGGGCTATAACCCACAGAATAAAATAAATACCGAAGTCCACTTTGATGTAAGTCACCAACCAAATACATAGATGGAAATGTGCCCCTTCTTGTAGTAGAGTCCCAAATTGTAAGTGCAAAAGGAAAGAGGGAAGCAGAAAATCACCACTAATTAAACTCCAAATAAGTAATCTTTACAGACATGATACACAGGTGGATGCTAACTTAGTGAAGAAAAGCTCAAGGAGTAACAGGATTTGTATGGTCTCAAAGGATCTCCCCAAGATAAGGGTTAACTGCAGGGGAAAGACAGGAAACAAAAGATGAGGAGACACCTGCTAGAAACCACCTCTCCTGAGGGACCGGACCAAAAGTCCCAGCCACAGTTTATAGCCACACCCCAGGCTCCCTGATACACTATGCCAGTGGGGGTTACAACAACACCCAAGCTCTGCACAAAGAGGAGTTACACCAACACCACAGGTTCCCTAGTACACTATGCTAACAGGGAGCCATTTCTGTGATTGAATAACTTCAGTCCATAGGGATAAAACCAGAAAAACAGGGACATTCGCAGAATAATGATCGATATTGTTCAGTGCCATCAAAGTCATGAAATACTGAGAAAAGCATTACAGACTGCATAAGAAGTAACAACTGAATGTCATGTGGGACCCTGAGGGGACCCTGAAACAAAAGGATACTGATAGAAAGCTAGTGAAATTCAGTAAGATTTTCAGTCTTTTTATTTAAGGTGCTGTAACAATGTTGACTTCTTGTACTACCACAATACTAATTTCATTGAGTTATGAGTTATAGCAACATTTTAACCAGATTAATTTCTTGTACTATTACAATGTTAATCTCATTGGGTTATGAGTTATAGCAACATTGTAACAGGTTAACTTCTTGTATTATTACAATGTTAATTTTTCTGTGCTATGATTCTGATCATTGAGCTGTGGTAATGGAAATCTGGGCAAGGAATTTTTATGGAAACTCTGAATTATTTTTCAACTTTTCTGCAAATCTGAAAGCAAATTCAAAAGGAGACTACAACACAGCATCCCACTTTTATTGACTCATAACAGGCTTCACACAAGGCACATCTCATCTCTGTGGGAGATGAGGACTGTTTCCTGAATTGATAGTTACTCTCTTCTACAGATGCTGCACAGAGAGGTCAGGACTTGCCCAGGATCACATAGCTAATGAGTATGGAGCCAGGACTCAAGTCTCGGCAGTCTCCTCCATGACTGCCTCACTCAGCTCTTCCAAGTGGCCAAAAAAGTCCCTTCCCTCCCCAGCACCCTTCAGTGAGCCAACAGGGGTAGAAGTCAGCTTTGGCTGAATTCTGCTTGAAGTTCACACTACATCTACTCTTTCCTGAATTCCTGTCTTTTTGGGAGCATGGGTGAGTTCAGAGAGCAGCTGAACTGGTCCTATTCTTGGGCTTCATGCTGAGGATCTGCAAAGTCATCAGTTGATCTCCTTAATGTTGATTCTTCAGAAGTGAAAAACAAAGCACATTAAGTAATTTGTTCTTCCCAGTCCTGGACATCTCCCAAGTCAGAGGCTTGTGTCCAGATGGGATGATGTGTGGGCCACTGTTTCTCCTCCTCCATCAGGCCTGCCTTTCACTCCTGTGATGGCTAGGGCCTCCTCTGAGCCAGCTCTGAGCTGGACACCAGGTCCAACTCTGCCTGGACAGACCTGGATCTGCCCAGGTTCACAGGCAGGGAGCTGATGAGGGCACAACTGACCACCAGGTGATGACTGGGGGACAACTGCAGGCTGCCAGGGTGGACAGGGGGCAGCATGGGAGGATTCAGGCAACTTTAAGCTGATATCTGAAAGATTTGGAGAAGTTAAATAAGGAGAAAGGAGATAAGCATTGCAAGGAAGTGAAGAGTGACCTGTGGAAGGCCTCACTAGGAAAGAGATGGGGCGGGGGCCCAGTGGTGGCTGCAGAGTTAGCAGCCTCCACCAGCTTGTTTTCCTGTTTCTTTCCTTCCTAAGGGAAGGGCAGACCCATGGCCCTTAACCAGAGTAGCTATCATAGTGTCACCAACAGACTTCCTGCACCATGGCTGCTAGCACAGTTTTGTAAGCACAACTGGGAGGTCATTGTGTGATGAGAAAAGCCTGCAGTCAGTGGCCACTTTGTTTTCATGTAAGTTGCAGAAACTGACATACAAGTCAGCTGTATCCATATCATGTTCTAAGTTCACACTACATCTTCTGTCACAAAGATGTCAAATTGTCAGACAGTCATGGTCACTCACATTAGAACATTTCTCTAAAAAAATCCTGGACTGACGGTCTAAAGAAACTAACAGCTTTGGGGACCCTCCTAATCTAGGGCCACTGTCAGCTGGGTGCAATGGCAGGGGCACAGCTAGACAAGTCCATAAACCAACGAGTTCATGGAGCTGCCACTGACATGAGGTTCATGGAGTATTAGCCTGGAGAGGACCACCTGCTACCAGCATGCTAGCTTTCAGAGCCAGGGAGTAAAAGCAGCAAACCCAGGGCTGCCAGGTGGGGGTGGGGTGTGTACCATCACTGGTAACTGATTATTATCATGGGCCATTCTGCAAGAGTTCATGTAAACACAGGTGAGCAAAAGGGGAAATCTCAGCTGCCTTCAGATGATACAATACTTTTCTCAGTTTAGGTAGCACGGCAGTGACAGAGCCACTTCTGGGACTTCCTGTTCTTTATGACCAAAGTGCAATCAGATCAATGGGACTGGAGTGTTTGTAATACCAAACTGAGTGGAGATGTGAGAGACAGTATCGACACAACTCTGCAGTGGTGTCCCTGGGTGGAGGAGGATCTCTGATTAATGGCTGGCATGGCGATAAGTGTGTATTTAGTGCCTTCTCACTGGTCATTTTCATGGGAAACACTTGAGGAACTTGTGAAAAACACATTGTGCTCCCCACACCCCTCTAACCCAAGCCCTCTAAGTGTGTGGGGGGGCATGTGTTTTTAAGGTCTCTGGGTGACTCCTGTGCTCCCCACACCCTAAGGCCACCAGCCAGTTGGCAGAGCAGCAAGTCATCTCTCCTGCTGTGCAGCTCACTGCCTCATACAATTTTAAAGTATTTCTGGAGTGAGAGCTGGAATTCAGGATCCCCTTTGATACAGAGAACTTGCACTGCTCTGACCACTGATCATCAGAGCACAGAAAAGATCCTGAAAATCATTGCTTAGTCCTCAGAGCTCAGGAGACCTACACCTCATTGTTTAGATGAGACATTAGAAAATAATACCCATTAAGCCCTTCTTGCCAGATCTCATTCAAAAGACACCCTTGGGTGTCAAAAGTACCCTTGCTTCTCACAGGGGAGTGTGGCTGCAGCTGAGAATGAGTCATGAGGAGGCCAGCCCAAGATCTAGGCTGATCTCAGCAAGTTCCCCCAGTCCAGTGGCCTCAGCTCCCATGTCTAGAGATGAAAGTGGCTTAACTAGAATAGTTCAGAGTTCCTTTCTATCTCAAAATGCAAAACAGGTAAAACCTAAAATGGGTGGGGTTATTGTTTCCACTGGATAAAAAAAAATTCCACTTTTCATGAAGATGCTGATTATGATCAAGTTATTAGCAGTGCCTCTTCTGATTCCACAAGTGATAGACCAAGAATGAGTTCTCTCCTCATGGCTGGGTAGAGTGATATCAGGATAGGGTGGGGGCAGGGGGCCACTAAACTGTAGCTCTCTGAGCAGAGAGCAGGCTGGAGTGTCAACCCTAATCTCTGGATTAGTGGGGATTGAGGTGGGGGAAGGCAGAAAGAAACTCCTGTAGGCGTGGCCGCTGGGCTCAGGGCTCCCAGTAGTACAAACACCAGCACCTGCTCACCTACACTGTCTTTACTGTCACAACAGCGATGGCCCAGGATACTAGGAGGGTGACAAGTCAATAGCAGGGAGGTGAGTTACTGAGATCCTATCTGCCTGCAAAATCCTCCATTTGAATTCAAATCAAGCAACCCTCCCATTCACCAGGCTGTTCTCTGCCAGGAAGACAGAATGATACCATGGCAAGTGATACTCCACCAAAACCCATCAACATCCACACACGATGCCACAGAAGATGCTGGACTGCTCTGAGCGTGAACCTAGTATGTTATTGCTGCTTCCAGGTGGAGACTTGGAAAAACTGATGTCTAAGACTGTAGCACCTGGCCACAGCAGACACAGAACAGAGAAATGCAAACAAGCCAAGTCTCCATCCACTCCCTGAACACAAAGCCCCCGACTCCCATCATCCACACAGGCTCAAGTGATTGAGATGAAGGGTTTTCATCCAAGTATTTTCTTGGGTACTGTCAGATCTACTTGCCCAATCAAGAGCAGTGCCAGGACAGGAAGTTCCTTCTCTCTTTCCTTCAACAATCCAGACATAAGGGAACCTAGAAGCATCACAACTAAAGTAGTCATATGTTTTGGAAGCCAATTAAAAAATGACAGGGCATGAGCAGACCACCTCAAATTTATAGAAGGGATGGTTACTGCCTCTGGGCCTGAGACCCAACACTTGCTCAAACCCTACAGAGAACAGGACAAGAGTTGCATCCAAGATTCACTCCTGAATCCCAGCTACTAAGAAGGCTCAGATTGGGAGGATTGAGGATTGCTCTCAAAGAGCAGCCTGGTGCGGGGAAGGGGAGAGAATTATCGAGACTCCATCTCAACCAACAAAACTGGGTTGTGGGGCACATGCCCATCATCCCAGCTATGTGATGTAAATAAGAGGATTGGGGTTCCTATCCAAAAACTAACTAAAGCAAAAGGGGCTGCTGAAGTGATACGTACCTGCCTAGCAAGAACAAGGTCCTGAGTTCAAGGCCCAGTACTGCCAAAAACAAACAAACAAAAAGACTTGCATTCAGTCAGGCCACCAGCACACAGTGGACTCAGCCCCAGAAGTCAAGCCTGTGACACCAGGTCAACCAGGGGTCAGTGATAGCAGCTTCATGGGGTAAAAAAAAAAAAAAAAAAATTGTGTTTGCTCCCGAGTATGAGGACAGGGCTCCAGGAGTGACCCCGGTAAATGTCCAAATCTGGACAGGTGAACACCGATTCTAGACAACAAGACAGATGTTAGTCAGCTGATCCTGAAGCCCTGTTTCATCCAAAAGGTACAGTGATTTTTTTTTTCAAGGGTTCAGAACAAAGTCTCTTGAATTGTTGGATTCAAGCTAACTTACATTCAAAGCTTTTCTGCTTTTTAACTCCATAACCATGTGTGCCAAGGCCATGGCACTAAAATCAGGCTCAGGGCCCGCTGTGGAATATTTTGAAGGTTGATGGGTCCAGCCTTGTGGCATTCACTGTTTTCAAGGCTGGTGGCTACAGGCTTCTCCTCTGGACTGCCCAGCAGGTGCAGGAAGGACCACGTGCACATATGGGCAAGGGGCAGCTGCAATGCTGGGAGTTGCTACCCCAACCCACCAGGCATCCCCCCATACACACACACCTCCAAATACTAGATGCCAGGAGCTTGTCATTAACCAAGGTGTCTTAAAAGTCAAAATAAGTCACCAAGCAATTAATGATGAAAGAAAGAAGCACAGGGGGTGAATGACCAGCCCCAGGGGTTGTGCTCGAGGCAGCCAGGTTCACACACTGGCTCTGACCTTAACCTCTTTAGGCTTTAGGTTCTCTACCTGGAAAATGGTGAGGGCACCTATGCCCAGGAGTTGTGCTGATTCAGGAATGTTTTATGCATGGAAAGTCCCCAGTCCAGTAAGTGGCTGGACCACAACAAATGCTCACTATTTTTATATGCACAGAAATGCAAGCCTTTTAGAAACAAATTCTTGGTAGAGTTCAGCTGTACTAAAGATGGAAGAGAATTTGTGTCACAGTTATTCATTTATCAGGTGCAAGATCAGTAAGTGTCCAATGGATTCCAAGGGAGGCTCACCTGACAGGGGTGGCCCCTCTGAGCATCCCTCAAACAGCCAGTCTGTCCTGGGGAGCCCAAGACCTGGGCTCCTGATGTTGAGTGAATGAAACAGAATCACCACCCTGTCCTGACTTCGCATCAAGGGTCCTCCACTCTGCGAGGTCCTAACTTTCACGGATGCTCTGCGGGTAGTGAAGGCTCACTGCAGGTTAGTCAGGGGCTGTGGCCCGCCTCTGCTTAGGAAGGCTCTACCTTGATGGCCCGCATCGGCCATCAGCTGGCCCCGACCCCGCAGCACCAAAGCGCTCCCAGAAACTCACCCCTTTCTTCTCAGCCTCGCCGTTCAGGGCGGTCACCCAGGCCGCCTGCCACTGGCTCCTCCAGCTATCCAGCGTCAGGATCCAGGACAGCAGCGCGTCCGACTCCGGGCGCTGCCCCTCGCCGAGCTCCGCCCGCCGCCGGGGCTGGGGTCGCGTTCTGGCCAGAGCCCACTGCGTCAGGTAGAGGCCCACAGTGACCAGGGCCGCGACGAAGAGCGACACCAAGACGAACCACTGGACCTCACCAAGCCACGAGCCCAGTCGGGCCATGGTGATGGCGCATACCCGACCCGCCTTGCCCCAACTTCCCCGAGCAGCCCTCGGGCCAGGGTGCGCAGCCCGCGGGCGGCGAGCTCAGGACATCCGCTGGCAGCCGGCCGGGGGCTGGAGGGGGGTGCGGCTGGCCGGAGCCTGGCGAGGCGCGGAGCCTGGAGGCCCGAGGCCGGGCGGGGCGCGCTCGGAGGAAGTGCCCGGCCGGCGCACGCAGCCACGGCCCAGGATTGCGCCCGGAGCGCGGCACACCTGGGCAAGAGGGACGCGGGAGCAGAGCCGGCGGCCGGCGCTCCCTCCTCGCGCGTCTGGGAAGTTCCCGGGACCGCGGCCGGGGCGCCCTTCCTCCTCGCGCGCCGCCCCGGGCGTCCAGCCCGCGGCCCAGCAGTGGCCGGAGGAGGCCCGGCCGTGGGGCGGGGCGGGGCGGGAGGGGCGTGGTCGAGGACGGGGCGTGGCCGGGCCGGGGGCGGGGCCAGGGCGGCCCAGGGAACGCGCGGACTGGGACGCCCCTCCGCCCCCTTAAAGGCCCCGCCGGCCCGCGCCCCTGCCTGCCCCTGCCTGCCTATCCGCTCCCCGCCGCTGCACGCGGCCCCGCCTCCTCCGGCGACTTCCCGGGAGCGGCGACCAGGTGACCCGGCGTGTGCCTGCCTCCTCTCCAGCGCTGACGTGGTGCGCGGTCTTGGCTACTGGTCAGCCAGATCCCAGTGGCTGCTGTGGGGCCATCAGGCTGGGCTGTGAGCTCACGTGCGTGTGTGCGTGCACGGGTGTGCGCGGGTGCGTGTGTGAACGATGTGCGGTTGAAGGGTGGCTGCTAGGGTTGTCGTTTTCCCACCAGCAGGACAGTGTCTGGTCCTAAATCTTTGGAAGCTTCCGCCTGTGACTAGCAACCTAAAGTCAGGGCGTGGGCCTCGCCTTTAAGGTCCAAGCAAAACGCCCCCACCTCTTCTTTATCCATGTAGATGTGTTATTTTGTGATGTGTATGGTGAGATGCATGCGTGTGTGTGACATGTGTACCATATGGTACCTGTGTAATATGCAGGTGTGTGACATGTTCCTGCATGCTTACCTTACAGAGAAAACACTCATCTTTAGGAAATACTACAGAAAAACAGTAGCCAGACATTCTCCAAGGCCTAAAACAGCCTTAAGTTGTAAGATAGTGGTTCAGTTGTATTTGCTATGGTTTCATTAATGGGATTTGACCTTGAATTTGGACTAGATAGACCTGAGCATTCAACCTTCTCTTACATAGCCAGGATCTGGACTGCAGGCGTGGCTCAAGAGGTACAGTGCCTGCTTTGTCAGCGTGAAGCCCTGAGTTCAAAAAATGCACTCCCACCCCACCCCCCCAAAAAAAGAATATAAAACATAGCTGGGATCAGTGGCTGGCCCAGTGGGAATTCTGGCCTAGAATCAGTGGGTCTTTCCTGAACGAAGAATTGGAAGGCAAACAGACAGACAGCTCCTGTGGGAACAGTAGGAAGGTGGCAGAGGTGGAATTAGAGTGGGGTGGCCCAGGTGAACTGGGGACCAGCCCTTGCTCAGCAGGTCTGTGATCAGAAAGTGGAAATAATGAGGGTCCCAGACACTTCCTGCAGGTTACCACCTACTTAACACTAGCTCTCCATTCAACTCACAGGCTCTTAAGACTGGGAATTGCCCTTTTCTCTTATTACACCTGTGTTATTTTAAGCAGAAACAAAGGAAATCCCTCCTCATTTGGAGGAAAAGTCTAATTATTTTTCTGATCTGCAGCCAGGTCTATGCAGTTGAATAATTCAAGTCCTGCTGGACCTCTTGCCAGAATGACTGGGGTAACTGGAAGTGTAGGCCTACATTCCAGCGTGAGTTCACGTGCACACATGTGCTCTGGATGACACTCTGTGGCCCCATGGGTGGTGAAAGTGATGAGGAGCCTGTCCTGTGCAACCAGTGGGACCGGTCTCATTCCTCCATCCAGAAGTCTCAGAGGCTGCTCACCCCACTGGCACATTTACAGGCTTGTAACAAACTGCAAGCTAACAACCACCCATAGTCTGGAATTTGTCACACTTCCATATGTTTTTACAAAGAGAATGTCAACATGTAGACATAGAATGTCAGCATAGCTTCTAGAAGCAAACTGAGGGAAAATAAGGAATGACGTAAGCTTACACGATGGTGCAGGTGGCCAAAATAAGCAACAGGAACTGAAAAACCTTGTAAATCCATGAAAAAGATCAAGCTCCTTTTGTCTCTGCTCCCAGTCTGAAGAACCCATTGGTACCCAGTCCCATTCATCCCCTGGGCAGCTTGGTTCTCTTGAAAGAGCAGCATGCCCCTCCTCATAATGTCTGTCCTCTTCTTCATCCATCTCCTTTGATTTTCGGGACCCAGACTGTAGCCCTGCCCAAGGGAGGTCTTGCCCTCATCCATAGACCATCAACTGGGTCAGGTTCTCAGTCACTTCTGCAGTGGTTATGTGTTAGGTTTACCACACTTAAAAGGGAAACATTTTGTCCATAGATTTGCCAATGTGCCCACACTGAGATTCTGTGAGCAGGTGGGATGGAGCTCTGGGGGCAGAGGAGGAGCCCAGGAGTGCTGGCCACTGCTGTCCTTCACTCCATGGTAGTGAGTGATGAAGCAGCTCCCAGATGCTTACCCCAGGCTAGAAACACTTCAGTTGACCTACTGGTGTCACCAGGAACAGCTACCTGCCTGGAGTATTCTTGAGAACTGGTTTGAACTTGAACCCGAGCTTTGTGCATTAGCAGGCTGGGTCTCCTGAAAGAACAGAGGAGACACAGAAGCTGTCTTCTGAATCCCCTGCAGTGTGCTTTATATAGGACATGGCTGCCAGAGCCTACGTAAAGGCTCCCTGGCTCCATTTCTCATTGTAAACCATTTGTGAGATGGTCCTTGGGCAGACAGGAGTTGTCTGCTGCCTGTCTCTGCTGAGTCACCTGGTCTTGGGGCAATTTCCTCCTTCACGCATCAAGATTGGAAGGATTCCCGTGTCTTCCTAAGCCCAAGAGTTGAGATGATGCTGTTTCCTGAAATGAATATATCCAGTGTTATTTTTCATGTCTATCAACAGTTATACTTACTCATATGAGAAATTATTCTCCATTATTGAGCCTGATATTATTGTCGATTTTTAAACATACTTCTGAAGCATTGGGATTTGTTCAGTTTCCAGTATAATTAACTTAAATTTCTACAAGAAGAAAGGAAATGTCTCTGAGTGCCCGAGTTTCCTCTTCTCCTTAAAGTGATTCACATTCTTCATCTTCTTATTACTTGAATTTTCAAGTCTGGCCAAATGTTCTGACAGACAGGAGCAGGGTCTATGATGGTCACTTCCCAGGTCTTACAAGGAGCCACCTGTCTATAGAACCACAGCTTCCCTCCCTGTGCTGCCTCTTTACACTCTGAGAATTCCCTCTTAGCAAACCACTCGGTGTCACAGCCTGTGCTGGGGGAAATGACCAACTAGGGAGTGTAAAGACATTTGGCCCAGTCTCCTCCTTTATCCACATGCATGGGCTCTGTTAGTTTCCTGTTGTGCCTGCTGGCCCATGCAGGCAGCCAGTGAACTCAAGCAGAGGTCACCACCATCAGAGGTGGACCTGGGACCAAATTCCCCTTCCCTTCTGTTAGAGGTGCTGCTTTCTCTGGCTGGTCACTTGCATGGCTCCTGCAGTCCTTGCTCTTGCCACCTTCCCTGGGTGGAAACAAGTCTGAGTACCTGCAACAATATGGAAACACAGTGTCTGAGGTTTGAGACTGGCCAGCCAGCTACCTTCACAGGCATGGACAACAGAAATGGTGTGCTGTGCAGCCAGTCCTTCTGCCAGGGACCATTCCATGTCCCCATGGTGTCCTTGCAGATACACCCAGTGTAACGAGCATCCATCACCAGCAGATACTGCGTGAGATGCTGGACTTAAAGAACCCACTTAATTTTCATGTCACCACTTTAAGGACATCACCCCCATTTTATTTATTTGTTTATTATTGTCATCACTGATGTTTGAATCATCCTATTTTAAAAATGAGGAAACTGAGTCCAGAGAGGCTGAGAAACTCACCCAAGGTCACACAACAAGAAGTGGCTGAGCCAGGTTTTGACCCTGGGGGGCATCTACCCTAAACCCCACATGCCTTCCATTTCCTTTTATAAGGGAACAGGCAAGAAGATTCCATTTTAAAATATTAAAAGCTGGAAGTGAAGGAGTGCCCTTTCTCAGGCCCATGGACAAAGATCTGCCTTTACTGTCTGAAGTCGAGTCTATAGGGACAGTTGAACCCAAGGGAGAGGAAAGTCATTCAGCAATCCAGAAGAGCAGGGAGCTTCTGTGAGTCCCAAGTCCTGTCTGGGGAGACAGATGAATCAGTCCCAACACTGCTCGTGTAGCTGGCCGGGCAGTCAGATGACCGTCCCGAATGGTCAGTGTCTCTGTAGGCACCCACTAAGAAGAGCCTTCCTGGCCACTCACCAACCCCAAATCATGAACAATTAACAAGACACACCCTCACATCCCATCCAGGTGACGTCTCCCGGGGAGCCTGAGTCATACCAAGATCCAGGGATGCATCAGGCAGCATCCAAACACGGCCTGCAACCCCTGGTGGGCCAGTCAGCCTACGCTGGGCACCCAAAAGCATATGCTCCGGCAGTAGTTAAACCTCCTTTGGGATTTCCTGGGACCAATTCCTTGTACAATGGCTGGGACCAACCTTATGAATGAAAATATGTAATCGACATGTTGAAATACTTTTCCTCTACTGTGTGTTTGCTGGTCACCTTCCTGTGCACTGAGCTCTGGAATCACACTGTGGGGTCAGCCTGAGGGCAGTGACAACGAACTGTATCTATCATTAGAAGTGGAGTTCGTAGGGACTCATCTGGCAGCATCAGGGACAGGTAGGGACTTACCTGTCAGGAGGGTACACTGAGGAAAAGAGGTATGAAGGTACTGTAGACGGTTTCCCTCATGGAACCATGGGATGGGCTTCATGCACAGACTCCAGTGCGTGGGAGCCAAGGTGGGGCCCTGCTTGCTGGGGTAGGAACCGGGGGCTTGGCTTATCAAAGCCTGCTGGCGCTGCCTTTGCAACCCCGCTCACTTGGCCAGGACTGACTCCTGAGTAACACAGCTCAGCTTTTTTTTTTTTTTTTAAATTGGTCATGGTCTAAGGGGTGACTCTGCTACAGAAGAGCCAAGGCCTTCAGGGTGGACTGGCCAGGTTTTGTCACCCAGTGTAGGTCATAGGAAAATGTCTCTTATCCCCAGGGTTCTGGGCTTTGCCTGTGTTCTGGCCTAACGTTTTCCTTTGGGCTATTTTTTTAAGCTTTATTTTAAGACTTATTAACAGAATCAACAAAAGCCTGGAGGGAAAATTAT